TGGGGGTGAAGTTTGGAGCTGAGGCCCAGACTGGTGCCGTGGTGGATAATGGTGGGATAGGGCAGTTCTCGAGAGCAATGCGGATCACCGGGGAAGCTGGGCGCCCTTGGCCAACCTGCATTTTAATGCCGCCAAAGGCTCCAACTAGGAGCCAGGAATGCAGCTCTAACTTACCGGGGGAGGAGGGGCTGTGTCCTGGAAAGTGGGGGCTCTGCTAGGGCCGTGGGGTCATGGTGGAAACCGGCTGAAGCGATGGGCTGGCTAAGAGGGCGAATGCAGTCCTTGGCTGTGGAGCAGGAGGAGGGAGGTGTTCCCACTGCACCCGGCCTGTGGGAGACCGTTACGGGGGTGGTGCTCAGTGCTGGTGTCCACACTTCAGAAAGGACGTGGGCCAGCTGGAAGGGCTCAGAAATGAGCTGCAGTGATTCGAGGTCTGGAAAACCTGCCTTCCGGTGAAGGGAGAGACGCTCAGCCAGTGCTAGCCAAGAGAAGAGGAAGAGGTGACTTGATCACGGTCTGTAAATACCCACCTGGAGGACGATCTGTGAGCGGAGAGGGCTCCTCAGTCCAGCAGACAAAGGCTGAACGAGACCCAGGGGCTGGGAGCTGAAGCCACACTGGGAATACGGTGCCCATTTTTAGCAGTGAGGGTCACTGACCATTGGACCAGCCGCAGGACCTGGTGCACTCTGTCCCATGGAGTCTCTCTGTCAGGACAGGGGGCCTGTTTCTACCAGCTCTGCCCCAGCCCAGCCAGGGTTCTGGCAGGCTGCAGGGATCAGTGCGGGGGTGCTGCAGTGGGTCGGGCAGGATAACCCCAGTGCTCCCTTCTCTCTCAGGGATGCCCGTGGTGAAGCCGAGGCAGCTGATAGTGGCTGAAGACTCACTGGGCCCAGGGAAAGGAGTCGCTCAGGGACTGAACCGGACGTCAGGGGTCAGGAGGTCATTCCGGAAAGCCCCCGAGGTACCCACCCCGCTGCCTTTTGGGGGGGAGTCTCCTTTAGAGCCTCCCCAGGAGCACCTGTTCCACTCGTCTCGGGGATCAGACAGTCTAGAGCCAGCGATTGCTCCCGTAGTGCCTGGGGGCAGTGGGCTGGGCTGTCCTGCCCCAGGGCCGTGAGGGATTCACCCACTTTCCCGCACATGCGTCAGCAAAGCTGCCCCTTGCACGCTGAGCAGCTGGGGCAGACCAGGGGGTGCCATCCTGGGTCCCCGGCACGGGGCAGGGAAGAGAATGAGCCTTGGCTGCTCTCCTGAATGAGCAACACCCCCTTCCCACTGGCCCAGTGCCCAGCTGTGCATCTCGTCCCCCCTTCTCTTGCTCTGCTGATTCTGTCGGGCTCCGTTCCTCCCAGCACCCCGTGGACGACATTGACAAGATGAAGGAGCGTGCGGCGATGAACAACTCCTTCATCTACATCAAGATCCCGCAGGTTCCGCTCTGCGTCAGCTACAAGGTCAGTGCCTGCCTCCAGCATGGCGTCCGGGGCAGAGCCTGCCCCGAGGGTGCTGGGGAGGGAGGGGACAGCCGCAGGCGTGTGCTGGGGCAGAGCCGGCCCCAAGGGTGCTGGGGAGGGAGGGGACAGCCGCGGGCGTATGCTGGGGCGGGGCTAGGGTCACCAGACAGCAAGTGTGAAAAATCGGGACGAGGGTGGGGGGTAATAGGTGCTTATATAAGACAAAGCCCCAAATATCTGGACTGTCCCTATAAAATTGGGACATCTGGTCACCCTAGGCGGGGCCGGCCCCAAGGGTGCTGGGGAGGGAGGGGACAGCCATGGGCGTATGCTGGGGCGGGGCTAGGGTCACCAGACAGCAAGTGTAAAAAATCGGGACGAGGGTGGGGGGTAATAGGTCCCTATATGAGACAAAGCCCCAAATATCTGGACTGTCCCTATAAAATCGGGACATCTGGTCACCCTAGGCGGGGCCAGCCCCGAGGGTGCTGGGGAGGGAGGGGACAGCCGTGGGCGTGTGCTGGGGCGGGGTCGGCCCCGGAGGGTGTAGGTGTAGGGGTTGTGTGTGAGGGGCTGCCCTGCCCTTCAACTGGCCCTATCCCTAGGGCTGCCCAGGGGCTACTTTCACGGCTTTCCCTTGCTCGCTTGGGCTGAGCTGAAGTTCACTTTCTGCCTCTCCTCTCTGTGCCCCATGGGTGCTGTAGGTTGCCTGGTACTTCTGGGGGCAGGGGGCCCTGCCTTCTTCCTATGCACTGTCCCTGCCGTCTGGCTGGCATGACTCTTCTGAGCCGTGGGGCAGAGGGGAGGAGGCCATTCCTGGGCCACAGCACAGTCCCCACCACACTCCCCTCAGCAGAGGGCCTGTGTCCCCGTTTCTGCCCTGGGTCCCCCCTCATCTCCTCTCCCCTGAACCCAGGGGTTCTGCTGCTGTGTCTTGCTCCGAGCCTGTAGGAACACGGCCAGCGGAGCAAGCCCGTGATTGGCTGGCTCTGGCCGCGGGGTCTGATACATTGTCTGGCGCAGGGCGAGAAAAACAGTGTGGACTGGGGTGACCTGAACCTGGTGCTGCCGTGCCTGGAGTATCACAACAACACGTGGACGTGGCTGGACTTTGCTATGGCAGTGAAGCGGGACAGCCGCAAGGCATTGGTAGCACAGGTAAGGGCCCGGAACCTCCCCCTGCTGAGGGGAGCCCCGAACTGAAGGAGCAGGGGAGAGATCTGCCCCAGCCACTTGGAGCGCTCTGGGTTTAGCTGTTAGCACTGGGGTCTGAATTATAGCCCCTCTCCTGTCAGTCATGTTGGGGAGCCCCGATGCTCTCCTCATCTTCCCCTGAGCGGTGCTGGGCCTGTGCCCGCGGTGAGTCTCTCTCTGGGAAGGGCAGAGAACATAAGAATGGCCCTACTGGATCAGACCAAAGGCCCATCTAGCCCAGTATCCTGTCTTCCGACAGTGGCCAACCCCTGGTGCCCCAGAGGGAATGAACAGAACAGGGAATCACCAAGTGATCCATCCCCTGTCACTCATTTCCAGCTTCTGGCAAACAGAGACTAGGGACACCATCCCTGCCCATCCTGGCTAATAGCCATTGATGGACCTATCCTCCATGAACTTATCTAGTTCTTTTTTGAACCCTGTTATAGTCTTGGCCTTCACAACTTCCCCTGGCAAGGAGTTCCACAGGTTGACCATGTGTTTTGTGTGGGAAAAAATACTTCCTTTTGTTTGTTTTAAACCTGCTGCCTATTAATTTCATTTGGTGACCCATAGTTCTTGTGTTATGAGAAGGAGTAAATAACACTTCCTTATTTACTTTCTCCAAACCAGACATGATTTTATAGATCTCTGTCATATTACCCCCTTAGTTGTCTCTTTTCCAAGATGAAAAGTCCCAGTCTTATTAATCTCTCCTCATATGGCAGCTGTTCCATACCCCTAATCATTTTTGTTGCCCTTTTCCAATTCCAATATATCTTTTTTGAGATGGGGCAACCACATCTGCACACAGTATTCAAGATGTGGGCGTACCATGGATTTATATAGAGGCAATATGATATTTTCGGTCTTACTATCTATCCCTTTCTTAATGATTCCCAACATTCTGTTCGCTTTTTTGACTGCCGCTGCACATTGAGTGGATGTTTTCAGAGAACTCTCCACAATGACTCCAAGATCTCTTTGTTGAGTGGTAACAGCTAATTTAGACCCCATCATTTTGTACGTATAGTTAGGATGATGTTTTCCAATTTGCATTACTTTGCATTTATCAATATTGCATTTAATCTGCCATTTTGTTGCCCCGTCACCCAATTTTGAGAGATCCTTTTGTAGCTCTTCGCAATGTGCTTGGGACTTAACTATCTTGAGTAGTTTTGTATCATCTGCAAATTTTGCCACCTCACTGTTTACCCCTTTTTCCAGATCATTTATGAATATGTTGAATAGGACTGGTCCCGGTACAGACCCCTGGGTGACACCACTATTTACCTCTCTTCATTCTGAAAACTGACCATTTATTCCTACCCTTTGTTTCCTGTCTTTTAACCAGTTACCAGTCCATGAGAGAACCTTCCCTCTTATCCCATGACAGTTTACTTTGCTTAAGAGCCTTTGGTGAGGGACCTTGTCAAAAGCTTTCTGAAAGTCTAAGTACACTCTATTCACTGGATCCCCCTCGTCCACATGCTTGTTGACCCCCTCAAAAAATTCTAGTAGATTGGTGAGGCATGATTTCCCTTTACTATAACCACGTTGACTCTTCCCCCCAAAATCAAGTTCATCTGTGTGTCTGACAATTCTTTTCTTTACTATAGTTTCAACCAATTTGCCCGGTACTGAAGTCAGGCTTCCCGGCCTCTAACTGCTGGGATCGCCTCTGGAGCCTTTTTAAAAAATCAGCATCACATTAGCTATTCTCCAGTTGCTTGGTACAGAAGCTAATTTAAATGATAGGTTACAGACTACAGGCTGCAGATGAGCCGTCTGTGGCGCTGCTGGAAATGCCTGGGCTGGAACGGGCACCACTGTCTCTGCTAGGCTTGCCCAGATTGCTGCCAAGTCCCCGCCTCTGGGGCAGGCTGTGCAGAGGAGCCCCAGGGAATGAGCCCTAGTTAGGTCTTTGGCTGAGCTGTTGCAGCCAGGGCAAGCCTTGGCCATCCCCCACCCCGGCTGTCTCCTGACCCTCTCTCCGCTGCGCAGGTGATCAAGGAGAAGCTGCGCCTGAAGCCAGCTGCTGGGACTGAGGCCCGAGGGAAGCTGGAGAACAAATCGGACGGGACCATCCAGCAGCAGCAGCAGGAGGAGGACGAGAAGGCGCGGCTACTCATCGGCCTGAGTGTGGGCGAGAAGAACCCCAGCAAGAAGTCCATCTTTGGCAGGCGCAAATGAGGGCAGCACCCAGCTGGCCGGGAAGGGACTCAGGCGGCTCCTGCCACCTCTTGGGCACATGGCCCCTTTGCAGGCCTGAGCTGGCACAAACAGCCAGTGGCTTTGTCTAGGTGGGGGGCCCTTGGTGGCACAGCCCAGCCATGGCACAAGAACTCGATGGACCGATGGCACGGGCAGAGCCCCTGTCCAGGCAGGGAGTGGCATGGCGGTAGGGAGACGCCACGCAGTGTGATGCAGCTCCCCAGCAGCGGGAGCTGGGGAGGCTGCGTCACCCAGGGCCCGGGCTGCTTTCATTTGCACAGAGCCTGGGTGGTGAGGAGCACTCGAGTTGTTATCACTGGTGTGTCCTGCGCTGGCGTCACTGGGCCAGCAGCACTGTCCGCACTGTAACGTGGCTGCTCCAGTCTGGTTACTGTTGGGAAGTGGGCACTGAGGAGAATTTAAATAAGAGTTTTTAATTTGGACCCATCTCTGTCCTGGTGTTACTGATCCGTTCCCCAGCAGGGAGAGGGCCGGAGCCAGGGCCCAGCATGCTGCTAGCACCTGGGCCCAGTCTGAGCCTGCTCCCCCACCCAGAGAGCTACCAGCACTTGGTGGCTACTGGAGCCTCATGGCC